AAAAAAAAAAAAAAAAAAAAACAATTCTAAATTAATTTATTATTAAGAATCGTAAGCTAAAACCATTAAACTAGCTGTTAGACCATTCCGCTTTGCGCTGTAATTCAAACAGTTTGACAAATACTATAACAACGGCAACAAGGAGAAAAAAAAAAGGAAGAAAATTTGCACTTGAAATTTTTAGCATTCCATTAATGCTGATGCTCTTATACCCTCTCCTCTTTCATTTATGCCGATAATTTTTTTAAAACTTTAAAAACTATTTGAAATACAACAGTTAAGATTAATTTTTCACTAATAAATAGTGCAATAAATTGACGCATTCATATACTAGCGTAAACGTTGTGCGATTTTGTTGCCAATATTGAAAATTATAAACCATAAATCACGCAAAGAATTTTATACGTAATTTAAACAACGTTAAAACAACAACACTAATTGCCAAAAGATCAGTTTTGAAAATGAAAAACCGGTCAGAACACCTGGACTGTTCTGCGATTGAAGTCGTCACATTGTATCCAATATATCTTTTTCAGGTCTGATGGATAATACATCGTTTTTTTTTTTCTTTGCCGGTTTCCGCTGGTTTAATTTCCGGTTCATTCTGCCCTGTTCATACCGATTAGGCTGTTCTCATCATCATCATCATCATCATCATCATCATCATCATCACCATCACCATCGTCATCATCACCACCGTCGTTGTCATCGTCATCTTCACTGTCGTCGTCTTCGTTGCAGTCGCCTTCGTCATCATTGTCGTTACCATCATAATTTAATCGGCCAGCAGGCTATTTAACCTAATAAACACATTATATGGTCATGCATATCATCACCAACTATAACAGTTGACCAAAAAATGGTGTTACCTCTAAAAGACTTGTAAGGGAAGAGAGAGATAATCTTCCTATTGTTTGTCACACTTATAGGTCTTTTACCTCAGTGCTTTTGCAGCAGTCATAATTCGTATAAACCTCTTAACTTTTATATACAGTTAACATATGTTTTTTTCCCCACTAACCTTAGAAACCTGTCCTGCTAAATACCGACAAAAAAAATTTATAAAAATATTAGAAATAAAACTCTGAAAATACAATTTTAATATTTAATTCTTACTTTTTACACTAAATTTCTGATTGAAAGTGCAATTAGTAACAATTTTACTCTGTTGCTTAAAGCCACATTTCGTTTTTCATCAGAGTAAGCACTGTTTGAAAGTTCCATTTAAAAACTTAATAAAGACTAGAATGCAGTTCAAATGATATTGTGCTCCGAAAGCTTCCATAATTTCCAAATGTAATTATTACTCTGCACATGTTCAGATGCAGCTTAATGAAATAAAAAACTACTGTATCAAACTCCCACTTTTTTCGTACAGTTTCCCCAATGAAGTTTTTTAAGTTATCACTTTTCTTCTAAGAATAACTAAACAATAAATACTTTTGACAGCTTTATGTGACGAAAAAGTTTATGTTTTCCAAACATATCTAAATAAATTGAAATTTTATTCTGATTTTTTATACTAAACTCCACCACTAATTATTTTCGCAGAGTCCCTTTAAAAACATCTTGCGCTTAGAAACGCCAAATTTATATGATGAGATTTTGATATCCGGACGAAAGTATGTCTCAGTTTCATTGGCTGACAGTAGTGTGCAGTTCACACAGCAAGTTTTAAAGCTTCATGTTCGTCAGAAGAATGAAAACAAAGACATTTTTATAAACAACTAAGCAAAAATTTTAGCAGCTAAAACTGATCAAATCTCAGCCAGTAGAAGAAGGTTTTGTTTAAAAAGAGGAACAAAACCTTTTTCAGTTGCTGCCTTTAACAAAGTACTAAAACTTTTATGCTCAACTTGTGAACAGTATCATCCAAAAAAAAAAAATTAAGTTTGCCGAGAAATGTTGAGGAACGTGATCGGCCACGCTACTACTGCCTGCTCAAACAACAAATCATTCCTGAACACTTTGATGTGGAACACCTTTAACTCTCACAAAACTGGCCCGTGTTGTTTTTCGAATAAAATACATTTTCATTTGTCATCTGTCAACTAGAAGATGGATATTTTTCTTGTTCCTTTTCTGCAGTCCATCTAATCCAGAAAGGTTTTATCTGCAGCAGTTATGCATTAGCTGTACAATACTGGCAACAGGTCGACAGATTCGCACAGACGATTCTACCTTCTGCTTTGAAAATTTAAGTTCCAATTTCAGAACCCATTCTTCAACCGACTGTTACCACTTACGTATGTGCAGTTTTGTATGACAAACTTTCCCTATTTTTTTTTTCAAATTTACTTTTTTCTTTTTTTTTTCAAAAATTTGAGAAATCTCATTCATCCTTCCCCCCTTCCCACACAATCATTCTTCTCCCAACAAAACAGCAAATCCTTCCATCTTCACGTATAGAAGCTGTTCAGACTGAATAAAACTGCTTTGTCACAAACGATTAAAAAATATTACAAGCTATAGAGAGTTGAAGAAAAAGAAAAAGCTGTTGTAAAATGTAAACCCAAACGCACTAAAGCAATACATTTATTGACCTATTAACCATTACAAACGCTTCACCACATTTATTGAAAAAAATTAAAGCACCTATTTCAAATCATTATAGCCACTATGAAAGATGAGTTTACAAACCTGAAAATCTTGAATCGCATCTAAATACTGAAACTAGAAGCGAAGTAAAACAGAATTTGTAAATTAATCTTTCAAAATGGAATACATAGCACCAGAACAATCTCAACAGAGAGAAGTTTATAGTTCAGTTGATTTCGTAAAAAGTGTAAAATATTAACGCGAAGATCGTTTGAATAAACATAAAAATCTTTGCAAAAAAATCCAAACTTAAGAATTAACATCCTGCAGTAGCCCCGCAACGACTGGCATAAAAAAATTAACAGCTTGTAGCAAACAAACAAAGAAAACAACTAGAACCGGAGTGAAAAATCACAAAAATTAGAAAACAAATGAACAATTTGAGCAAACAACATTAATGGAACTTATCACAAGTATATACCAATCACTGTTAAAATTCTAAATCTTTCAGCATAAGAACAAAAAACAAAACAGTTGTCCAAAAATTTTTAAAAACCCAATCAATTTATACAGACACTTGCAAAAAGTTTGTCAAAAAATAAGATTTAGGATAAAAAATAAACGCGGCAGACAGCAGAGTGGCTTAAGAAAAGTCTGTCTGAATTAAAAACCCTCTCCAATAAGTCGTATTAAGCTATATCTAACGATGATCAGGAAGAACAAACAGCCAAGAACACCTGATCGAAGTCCAGGGAAGAAAATGTAAAGAACCGCTAAGGTCGATAAGCAAGCGTATTTATAGGTATAAAAAAGTTCAAAAAATGAAGAAACCCCTTCAATAGACCATCTCCACATGCTAAGATTATCCACAGGTCCTCTGTAGAAGTATTTTTCGTGTGACGTCGAATACTGCTGATTTATCGTACGTCTATTGGATGCTGGCTTTGGTTTTCGGGATGTTGATTCCACCTGACAAATCGTTGATTTGTCATCGGCATCCTCGAAACACGTTTTCTTGACCACATTCGTATCCAGGACCTCATGGCTTGAAAGAAAAATAAGTACTGAATTCTAATGTTCCAAAGTCTGGAATCAAAACATTTATTTCGGAAAAAAAAAAAGAAAAAACACAAACAATTCTAACACAAGTCCAATAGACTTTCTCCGACCTTCTACACAGCAAGAATTTTGTATTGGAAACTCATTCTCTGGAGATAAACACATCAAGCGACATTAGCACCCAAAAACATCAATTGACTGTACTAAGAGTTTGAGGAGCATAAAATGGGGAGGAGGGAAGAGAATTGGGTATTAGTAAGAAAATACAAAAAAAATCTTATTGTTTCAAACTGCCCGCTCTCCTTTGCACTACCGTAAAAAAGTTAAAAATACTCAACAACAGACAACAAATATCACGTAACAATGTTACAAAACAAGGCAAGAATCCTATATCATCTGGTAAAAGACAAATATTTAACATAAAACGTGCCTAAAACTTATAAAACTCGACTTAGAAATAGAAAACTGATGTACAATTTCTTTTTACAATTTTAACTTTCCCCAAGATATCTGAACAGCTCTGCCATCCAGAACTTCCAACAGTTAAAAGTGAATAAAAATAAATTAGCAATAAATTTCAAAAAAGTAAAAAAGACAAACGAATGCATAAGCTCAGTAAACAAATGCATGAAATCTTTGCCCAGGGGAATACTATTTATATGTTAAAATACTTAGAAAAGTAAATCAGTGAGGATTATAAGTGAAGCTCATATTATAATATTAATGTGTCTAACAAAAAAAATTTTAAAAAAAAGTTTAAGAAAATTCAAGTAGAGCAATTACTATATGTCATCTTTGGAACGAATCATATAGATCCCTTCTGCAGTCTTCCATAAAGCAGATTTTGAAGCTGAGGAAATTCCAACTACTTCTCTCTGTCCGCTAATTGGTCTGCCGTATTGTTGCCCACTTGTCGCAAGATATTTCCCTGAAAACAAGCATATTTCAAAATAAAAGCGAAAAAACCATGCTTTTAACTCTTAAAAGTTTGCTTCCCTGAGTTAAAAACCGCATATACTTTTTAAAAACACGTAAAAAACCCT